ATCATAATGCAATGCTCTCATTGATTAGCTAATAAACTAAATTTTAAGCGTCTTTTAAGATGTTTCAAAGAATGCGTCTTTATTTCCAATGGAACAGTATTCTAAATGTTTACAGCATTGTAAGTAAAACAACGGTGAAACATGGTAAGATTGAATCTGGGTAGTGTTTGGATATCTTAAGTTTACATTATGTACATCACCTCGATATAGTAATTTGTCCTTTAAATACGCAGGTTGAGAAGTCGACAAAATGCGAAAGATTAAAGCAGACATTTGTAATTTAAATAAATTTTCTATTTTGAGCCATTCTAATTGTTTTATTTTAGACGAAACTCTATCGTACTTTTTTAATACAAAAATAAATCTGCAACATGAGTTTTGGATTTTTTGTAACCTATACTTCGTAAATTGATCTAAACAAGGATAAAATAAAACCAAGCCATAATTTATGATCGATAAAACTAAACTCTCACAAAGAAGTTTCCGCAAGGGAAAACTGAAAATTCCTCGGTTCCTATATAATTGACGAAGAACTAAATAAGATTTCTTTACCAACAATGAAATATGCTCTTCAAAACGTAATTTGCAATCAAAAATAATGACGCTACTAACAACTTTCAGAGGTTGGTTTTCAATGACCAGTTTGATATTTTTTTAGCAACTTGCATTGGCAGTTTTTGGATAGAAGAACATTGCAGATCACTTATTACCATTTAGTTTTAGATTGTGAGTTTTAGAATACTTGGCCACTTCGTTTAAGTCTCTGTTTATGTAGTCAGAAATACTAGTGAAGTTTTTTAGATCAAATGAGCAGTATAGTTGAGTGTCATCGGCAAAAGTTTGAATTTTAACGTAATTTATAACTGAGAAGCCTCTACAACAAAATTCTCAAAATCATATTATCCTTCCTCTTCCTAACTTCTAAAGAAAAGGTCCTCATACGAAAATTATATGCTCCTTCATCTTCCTAACTAAAAAAAGGCCCTCATACCAAAATCATATCCCCTTACTGCATGATTTTTTATTTTTTTGCCAAAAAAATATATTCGTTAGAATGATATTCTGATATTCATCAGGAGTTATGAAAAAATAGTAAAAAAAATATTTATCGATATTTAAAGGAAATAAATGTCAAGCTTTGACTTGTGCCAAAATTGGCACAAAATGAGATAACAGTAACATTGTTAATTTTTGACATGTGCCAAATTTGGCACAACTTTTGGAAATAAAACAAAAGTAATAAGTATAAATTCAGACTTATTTTTAAAAAATAGATTTTATATCAACAAAAGAGTGAAAATCTTGCCCTATTCCTCGTGGAATTTGCTTAAACAATTGCGATCCTTATTTAGACATAAAAATACTGAACATTTGCCACATATCTGGGATTTTCCCTTACAATCTGGATATTCGCACCTCTGTCGTTCTTCACTTACTCTTGGTAAATGATTCAAGTTGTCCGTTCTTATTTCCTGGGCTGGAATCTGCGAAAAAGGATATTTCTTTTTTTTTCAGATCCAGTTGAGGTTGTAAGCTGGTACTTGGTCTTCCCCTTTTTCTTTCTGGTCAAAACTTCTGCGATACCAAGTTTGAATTCTGAAAGTGGTAGGTATAAATCATTATTTTTTAGGGTTTCGCTTCCTCAGTATCCAGCTATTGCCGCATATCATATCCAGGAAATGGAAAAATACCCTCATGTACCACTTTTTGGTTCGAATTTAGATTCGAACAGAATCGAGAAGATCTACTCCCCCATATAAATATTATATACCGCAACACATTTGAGGGCGGGTAATTTCTATATGTTTCCTAGATTTCCTGCAGAATCTGTTTATCATCGATACAGGCTGACTCCCAACATGTGTTGAAATGGTGTTCACAATTTTATTATCAAACCATGAAACAACAGATATGTCCACACTATAGACAATGGCTACTGCTTCAATAACTGTACCTCTACCTTTTTTTTCATAGCTGCTTCCTTAGGGAATCCGAAATTATGCACACGATTTTCTCTTACTGTCCCCAAAGGTAAAATACCATTTTTGGTGAGGTATATTTGTAGAGGAATGCTCGTAAACCAGTTATCAAAAAATAATTTGTAGTTTAGATTTCTTGGAATTGATTCTGAAAGTTTTACAGCAACATTGCTGCTTGCTCCTAGATCTGGTTGATTATTTTCAAGAGTAGTAACTCCACAATAAAAGTCGAAATCGTAAAAAAAATCCAGACACCCCACTTAAGAACAAAAACCTTGTATCCCTATTTATGAGGTTTCTTGGGATTATATTGTTTGAGACTTGATCGAGCTTTTGCCGGAATAATTTGTTCATTCACGGCCATATGCTCCTCTTTAATAACTAGTAAGAAACGTTCACGGATTTTGTTTAGCAATGGACGTATCTTGAAAAGCTTATCATAACCTGGCTGCTCTTGAGGAACCTAGCGTGTGTTATCATTGAAGTGAAGAAAACGTTTGATTTCTTCAAATCTATTGCAGGTCATAGCACGTGAGATGCAGGGAATATCTAACGATTGGTTCCAGTAGGACCTGGTTGAGAGGAGCTGAATAATTGACATGTATATGCAAATAACGCAAAAATTCGAAGTTCTTCTTTGGATATATTGGGCGATTTTTCAGGCCTACTTTGTACACCAAAAAAGTTTGACTGTTCAGGTATTTAAGTAAAAATTTCGTCGGTGAAAAAAAAAAATAGAAAACTGAATGGGATCTTCGAGTTCTTGTATGAAAATTGGAAGTGTTTCATCTCCTTTGAATTTCACAAATTCTTCAGTAACAACAAAGAACACCTATTCTGCCAGACAACTTCTTCTTTTCCCATTTTTTTGTGTTGTGATTTTTTACATTTTTTGCTAGTCGATGTCGATGGTAAATTTGTATCACTATAAGATTTAGATCTCGAGGGAACATTTATATCACTATGCTTATCTTGATTAGATTGTCGTAATATAAAAAGCGGTATTTCATATTCGCTGTCACTGTCAGTTTCGTCGATAATTCCTCTTTAGTTGATGAAGCATTGCTTTCACTATCTTATGACTCACACAAAATATTTGTAGGTTTTATGAGACTCATTAGTTCATTCTTTCGATGGTCATCATCGGAAGATAAATTCTCATCATCCCTCCCATTAGTCATTGGAATTTGTACTTTTTTTGTTCCATAGAACTTCTTGGTATTCATCTGATTCCAAATATAGCACAAGTAAACAAAGACAGTTTTTTTCTCGTTTTTATATAGAAAAAAAGTTTTGTACGACTTTAGTCATCACAGTAAACACTTACCCTTATAAAAATAATTTTTTCCACACAAATCAGGCCAAAAGAACAAAAATATTCTATTTTGAATTTGTCCCAAACAAGCTAGCGCCTGTCACCAGCCAGATATTCACTAAATAATTCATCAAATATCGTACGAGCGATAGTGGAGGGGATTTAGCGGCTGCCTGTGGACAAGTGAGTGTGCCAGATATGGGACAACTTGAGTTGACAGCACAAACTATTCGGAAATTTTGAACGTGTGCGCTAAGTATGGCACAATATGCGGTAAGGGGGATATGCTCCTTCATCTTCCTAATTAAAAAAAAAAAAATAAATAAAAAGGTCTTCCAACCAAAAAACCAATATACCACAATCGTATACTCCTTCCTCTTACTGACTTCTAATAAAAAAAGTCCTCAAGTCCGTTGTAGCGGTAGGTACTGATTTTTTGTTTCTTCGTGGAGCCCCCACAAAGGCTTTGCGGTGCCCCGAGGCTCACATGTTTTTTTAAATAAAAGGCTCATAAATCGCTCTGGAGCCGCCCTTGGTGTAATTATTGATAGTAATATGAAATGGGACATGCACATATCTTATGTAATAAGTAAATTACTAAGTATAGATATTATTTAAATTTAAAACATTCAAATGATTCCTGAAAATTATTTTAAAATGTTATACTATGCTTTGGTATAAAGTCATCTTCGTTATGGAATGAGAAATAAAGCCATCCGTTTTCACACGGACCCCCGGTATATATTTTTTTAATCGAAACAGGTGCCTAGACACTTATCGATATTTTAGGCTTTTTTGAACCTGCTTATATATTTTTCAATCGTTTTGAATAAAGCACTCATTATACTCTTCACACTGTACTCTATGAAGAGTGGTTTACTCTCAAAAATCAATATTTTTAATATTGATCCAAATTTTAAACAACTTTTAAAAATGTGCGTCCGTACGATGTCCCTTTTTTTGTCCGCAGGATAAGTTAAAAATGAAAAATTATATCAACTTGAAATTTACAGGAAAAAAAGCTCAATAAGGGGTACGTAGCCTATTGATTTTTAAAAAATCTGAATAATTAAGGCGTGGTTGAAATATTAAAAAAAATCATAAATCAAAAACGAAAAAAAATTAACCTGACATTTTCAGGAAATCAAGCTCTATAAGGGGACGAAGTCCATGAATAAAAATGGGGTGTTAAGGGGGGTTGAAATTTAAAAAATCATAAATTAAAAACGAAAAGCGATATCAACATGAATTTTTAATAAAAATCAAACTCTATAAGGGGATCAAGCCCAATGGTTCTGAAAAAAATTTGAATAAAAGTTGGGGGGGGGGGGGGGTTAAGAGGAGTCTGTTAAACTGCGAAGAGTATAATATATAGTTTTAGTTATTATTAAATAAAATATTATTTAATTTGCTTCATTTCATTTCATAGATGTTGATAAACAAAATTTTAAACGTAAAAGGATGGGATATCCCCTATGCCTAGATGACTGCTCGATACTAAGCGCATGAACTACTAAAATTTGGATAACTGGTCTATTATCTAGTAGTTAGTAATGACATGAGCCTATTATAATAATCGGTAATCGGCAAATCGGCGCGACATCGACAGCTCCGCATTGTGTAGCCACCGGCGCTGTGAGTGTAGTCGCAAGTCGCACCATATAAACAGACCACGATCTGAGATCCGGCGATTCTGCTGAGCAAACTGACAACCGACGGCGAAACGGCGAGCGGCAAGGCAGTCACAGTATTTGGGAAACACCGCTAAGGGAGGGTGCGTGACCGGTGCGTATTTTCGACTGCTTTGAGTTTCGAGTATTTGCGATTGCGGCGTGAATTGGCGTTACCGTACCGCGCACGAGAGAAAGTGATCTCTGCCTGTGCGAACACTGTGTTGGTTCTCTAGACACTTTCGTTCGTGCTCTTCTCAGTCTGTGCCGTGAGTCGTGCTCGTGACTCGGATCGCCACTGTCATTGTTTACAGATGTCTCCTCTACAGCTGCTGTGATACTAATGTCTCGGTTCTCGGTCTCGGTATATTCGCCACACTTTGGTATTGGTATTTGCCGGGGCCCGTAGCCCGTATTGCCGTGCAGCTTTTGCACGATCAGGTGAGAGAGCTTCGTCTATACCAAAACCCATTCCTTTTACTTTCGATGTATTTTCGGCTTTGACATCGAATTTTGATCTGAATTTTATATTTGACGGCGGTCTGTACCCGGCTTTTTTGATTGTTGGTATATCTTGCTGCCCGCAGACGTCTGATGTTTTTGCACTTTTGCCACTCAACACCAGTGTCGGACGTAGATTATAAAATTACAGAAAAATTACTTAAAAATAATTTATAATATTGGTATAGTCTCCAAAATAAAATAAAATAACGAAATGTTGCAGGAAATCTCGATTAAAAATATAAATATCTACCAATAATCTGCATTTAAATTAATCAAACAAATATCTAATTTTTGCGATTCAAAAACAAAATAACGTTTATAATGAAAAAAAAGTCATTCAAATTATTAAATAAAAAATGAAAGATTAGAAACCCTATACGAAATAAAACTGACGACTATATGTTTTCGATAATTTTAACCTGTTACTTATTTTTGTCTTAAATTTTGGATAAAAAAATATTTGTTCAGTTGTAATTATTTGTGTTACTAAAATAAAAATAAAGAAAATTTTCATTGCATCAATTTTACCTAATATAAAAAAAGATGTTTTTTTTTTTTAATTGAATAGAAAACTTAGAAAAACCAACACATGATAAATCAATTTTGATGTAGAATTGCACCTAAAATCCTTACTGTATGCTTTACGAGTATTTTCCACCAAAATCAAAGAGAAAATCAACTCATTAAAAAATTAAAAATTAAAATTTTCTGAAAATAAAAAAAATACGAACGTTTTCCTTTATAAAGTCTTGTATATTAGAAAAAAATAACTGAAAAATTATGAAAAGCTTAAAATGCAATAGTTATACACTAGAAATATAATAAATGAAAAAGAAAGAAATTTCAAATTTAAATCAACAACCTGTAAAGCAAAACTTTTGTTTATAAATAGTAGCCTCCACTTACCCACATCAAAGCTTTCATTAAAAGTACCTAACATTCAACGTCAAAATTGTAAAGCATAAAATTTGCCTATTTTTTCTTTTAAATAAATAATCTTAGTGACGGTTTAAAAAAACAGCGGCGTACCTACTACCTAACTATACCTTTATTTAATTACATTTTTCACTGGCCATTCAATAAAATTTGACTACTTTCATCCTTAAAAAAGAAATTTATCATCAGAAATGTATGCACACAGGATTAATAATTTATATTTTATAAAAAAATGGATTATAAATGTATTATCATTTATCGAACTAAAAAAAATTCTATGATATTCTCGTATTTTCACTAGACATCAAACGAAGTTTAAATTAGATTAGTTTTGTTTTTGATAGTGGCAGGAATCAAATTAGAAAAACACTCGGAAAAACAAAGCAGAAATAAGTTTGGTATGATATTAAACTTCTCAATTATTAATTATTATTATCATCAACTGTGTCTGCAACACATCCAATCTTTTTGAAGCCTCTTCTTGACATCTTAAAATAACAATCAGTCAAGGTGAAGGTTAAAAGTAAATTTTATTCCTCCACTAGGTAATATTCTTACAGCATACATTAAAATATCTCTCATTATATTTATTTAGTTGCATTTAATAAAAAAGTATTCTTCAATATCCTAGCTCGAGTCCGTATACCCATTATATATTATATCTTCCTTATAATTCACCATTTTTGTTTTTACAACTTTCTTTTATCAGTCATCAATTGATTTAACTTTGTTTTCCACCCTTAGATTCATATGTCCTTTAAATAGTGATTTTACCTCCTATTTTATTATAGGATCTACCTATTACTTGTTTCCTGCTGATTTTTCCTAATCCATGTCCTCGTCCATGTCCATATATAATTTATAGTATTTATTTTGTACAAGAATTATGTTTGAGGTTGGGCCCAATCCAGGGCTGCCCACTTGCAGCCTGGCCAGTCCGCTTCTGTAGGGTTTGAGTTGAAAAGACGAATCAAGGCTGAAGAAGATAATTGGCTGGCTAATGTTGCCGAATTTATTCCCAAAAATTCCCAGAAATTCAACGTTACTTGCGCTGCATCGGGCTTCTACCTGCTTGCCCTATATTTTTCGCATACTAAATATAAACCACATAAGTTTACTGCCTACACTACGCTTACGATCTATTTTGAATAAATAAATAATTATGGTTCAGATAGCGCTCGAAAGCTAATCTTGATTTAAACTGGTTCAAAAATGCTGAATTTGAATTATATTTTATGAGCCCTCTATCCAATTAGAAAATAAATCCTTTGGCAGTAGTACCTTATAAGAAGCTTCGACATTGGTACGTGTAATGGATAGCTTGATCTTAATTGAGAAAAACAAGAAAATCAAATCATAAAATGATAAAAATTCAATACAACAGTCGTAAGAATGTGCTACACAAAAGGTACATGCATCAGAAATAACAAATGAAAACAGGCAATGGTAATAACGCCAAGCCATATCCAAGGGAACTTCTTGGATATGGAACGAGGACCCGGTCCACTGTAACGTCCGCTGGTGTATGGTGTATGAACTACTAATTTAGAGTCTACATGCAATATAAAGTTGCAGAAATCGATTATGATCTGACACCATGGAAGGGAAAATAATTCAGAAACCCCTTGTTTTAAAGGCGTATATACCTAATTAAATGTAACATTTTTACCAAATGATATCAAGAACGATATCAAGTGACAAATATCCAACACTAAAAAATGTAATCATCATTATCACTGTCTTCATAATCCATGTAATACCATCGATCCCCTCACAGATCACCGAGAGTATATTTTTTAAAGGGGGTAATGGGTATCCGCTTCATCAGCCATAATAAATCGACGGTTTGTTGGCCAAAGCTATTAGATAGGTTTATACAGAAACAGTTAAATGGATAAAAACGACAATGGAAAAGTTCCTTAGCAAACTTATCTATAGATCTTGTGTTTTTTCTTTTGTATTCTTTACTTTCACTGCTAATTCATCTCTATTTGTTACTGTTCTTTCCTTTCTAATCTTCCAATTGTGTATCCACAGCCTTCCTAGGTCATCTTCCACATATCTATCTATTATTCATCCACTCTTAGGTCAACGGTTCTTTTAAAGCCTTTACTAATACTAATAAGGTCAACGGTATACTTTTTGACATGACATTGTTTATGAAATATTGTACCACTTTTATTTAAAGTGAAGACGAAATTACACCAAGACAGCAACTGGCTAAAAAGAAAGATACTTAACAGAAGAACAGTAATCAAAATGTGACTGAATAATTGAATGGTACACTGTAACTGTAACTGATTTTGATAAATCCAAGATACTCAATCGATGTTACAATATTAACGTTTTCATTGTTAATTCTATAAGACTGATTGCGTTTTGATCAATATTGTTGAATTTAAATGCGCTAGTTATTATTATGGCTTTAGTTTTTGTCACATTTAATTTTACCTTATTATTTATAAGATATTTATCTACAGATATTAGTATGGAATTAATTTTTTGTGTAGCATTTTCCAAGTTAGAATCTTAACATGCTGTTAGAGTATCATCTGAAAATAAATTAATAAAATCATAAAACAGACAGATTTACATAATTTAGATATAAAATAAAGAGAAAACCTTCCTGAGGCACACCAACATCGATTCTGGGCTCAGATGAGGTAACACCACGGAATTTTACCTTTTGCTTTCTTTTGAATAAATAGATAACCAGCTTTAAACTTTTTCATCAATGTCGTCCATATCCTTTGAATTTAGTCGGCAGTATATTTTTATCATTAGTTTCGAATGCTCTCTTTAAATCAAGAAATACAGCTATAACGTAGTTATCATTATATTTTTTTCGAAATCCAGATTGGTTATTCATTAAAATTTAATTTCTTTCGACATTGTCTAGAATATGATTATAAACAGCTAAGTACTTTTTCTATTGGTGGTAATGTAGGTATTTATAGGTCGAAATTCAGTGGCTTTTATTGTGTTACTATAGTACTGATTTTCAAGAGGCTTGGGACTAGTGATGAGAAGTAATAAGATTTAAAATATGACCACAAGATTCAAACATTTCTTTTAACATTTTGGAATCAAGAATTTCATGAGTACTAATTTTATTATATTATCTAAACAATGTATAATTGTGCGTACCTACTCATTGACAATAGCTGAAAATTTGAAAAATTGGGGTTAATTTAAAATTATAATATTTTTCATATTAAATACTATCTACAAATTTTTTGATTGCTAGTTATAAAGAAGTTGTTAAATTTATTTGTAATATCCGATTTGATGTGATAATTGTCTTGTCTTGTTTCGATATTATTTAATGAAAGTAGTTAAACTCATCTTTATAAAATTTTTAAAAAAAGCTCCGTCATCTATGTACCTTCAACTAAGCCCAAAAATTTTCTTGAGAAAAGTTATTTATTCGCCATTTTAAATGTAAGTATTGCACTTATATTAACTGAAGGCAATTAATTGCGTTGGTATAAATGGTCTATCGCAAGCTACTAAGATACAACCTGATTTGGCGACAATCAACATTCACACAAACTATATGTTGCTAGTTGTTGCCTTGGTGTAATTCCGCCTTTATGTCAGACAAACAAGCAAAAAGAAAATATAAAAAATTGTTTCTGTTCTAAACATTTGCTAAATATCCTGTGAATTCGAGAATGCGTTCTCTGAATAAATGAATAGCAATCTCAATAAACAGCCACTGTGTTAATATTTACTGTCTTAATATTTATCACCTAAATATATTTGTTATTAATGTTTGTTTTTTATAGCTTCTATCATTTTATTAAATTTGTATCTACTGTTTACCTATTTGTTTTAAATTATTAATTGCTATAGATACCTATATTTTATTCGTGACCTTTTTATTGAAAAAGAACTATTAAATTACAGATTCTATAATACAAATTAAATAAAATAAGTATGTTTAAATAGTAACATTTACTCGCAATAAGAATAATTACTTAAAATTGATGCATTATGTA